CATGAGGTCCACTTTCTAGACACTAGTGTGCAACTACTACATAAAAGAGGTATTGCAGATCACTACATGTACTTCACACTTCTGGCGTCCACCTAGAATATCGTTCTCTACAACAGCAGGTGCTAATTTGTGGCCCTCCAGAAGTTGGGACTCTTATCCCCCCTGACTATTGGCTATGTTGGCTGCAGTTGATGGAAACTGGGCTCTCAGAACATCTAAGGCAGCACAGATTTCCCATCCCTGGTCTCCAACCAAGCTATAGGAGGCAATCACCAATTTTCAGACTCATTGGATAATGACTCACAACTTCAGAATTTACATCAGGCATTCCTCAAATGACAATACTCAGCCATTGAAGAAAGAAACCACAAATCAACAAGGCCAGAGCTATCTATTGATTGATCAACCCAATAACTATCTATTACAGGACAGATCTAGAAGAGAAAATGACCAAACACCACTTATCACTTGTAGTGCCCGGTAAAAACATTTAAAACATGTAATCTATAGCCATGTGATTCATGTGGGTACAAACAATAGTGCCAGACACAGCCTTCAACGTATAGCAAGGAACTCTGGGTAGGAAGCTGAAAAGCCTTGGGGCATAAGTAGTCTTTTCATCACTCCTTCCTCTTGAAGGTTGGGATCCAGGATGAGAGAAGAAAATACTAGAAGTGAACAACTTAATGTGCAGGTGGTGTTGTCAGGAAAAGCTTGGCTTCTTGGCCCATAGTCTTGGCTTGCTTGAAGAAGAACTTATGGAAAAAGATGGGCAGCATATCACAGCAGTTGGCAAGAATGTGTTTGCTAAGTGTCTTGTGAAACTGATCAGGAGAGCTTTAAACTAAATCCTGAGGGGGGGTGTGAGATATTACAGGTGACAGGGGAACACCTGGTCCTGGTGATAATAGCTACCTTGATGCTCTTAAAGCTTAAAGAATGGCTGGGAGAGATCCCATGGTCAGAAATACTCAAAGAGAAGGGAGACCAAGATGGATGGGAGTTTCTTTAAGGTAAAATATGGAAGGCACAAATGCAGATAATTCCAACAATAAAGGAAAATGGGAGGCATCTAAAGAAATCAATGTGGCTGCATAGGTTGCTCACAGATGAGCTGAGATTTAAGATGGGCAAGTATAACAAAATGAAGAAAGGGGAAATTACGAAAGAAAAGTTCACAATAGCCAACAGCTTCAGAGAAAAGGCCAGGTAGGCCAAAGATCAAAATGAGCTCAGGCTTGCAAGAGAGGTTAAAAATAGCAAAAAAGGATTTCTTCAGCTATGTTCAAAGCAAGAGGAAGAATGAGCAAGTAGTCGGTCCTCTGCGAGGAAAAGACAGAGAAATGCTTTTGGGTGACAGAGAGAAGGCTTTTCCTCTGTCTTCACCCTGGAGGAAAGCAGGGCCTAACCTTGTGATAACAGAATAAATGAGGGGACCACTAGGGGCGCATTGGAAGATGGCCGACAATAACATCTCTCCGACCCACACGAGGTAATTAAGAGGCTGTGATGGGAGTAAACAGCCTCTCTGCGCCCCCCAAGGGAATGGGGGGGACTGCCCTTGCCTGCTGTGCCCATATATACCACCCCCGAACTTGAGGGGGTGGGGGTACTAGGCAGAAAGCCCTTGTGTGGAATTCGGCTCTCCTGGACGCTATCTCTGATTCGCACCACTAGCTGCAGCAACTTCAAAAGAAACAATTAGGAAGAAGCAAATGCACATATTTCAAGGAAGAATGGGGAGTAAAGACTGCTAATTGAAGGGATTTCTGAGAAAGAAGACGGGTCGGATAAACAGGAATATATCATGAGAAGACACACCTAGGCTCGGTATGTCGGCAACGGGACTGGATGGGGGGGGGACTTTCCTTTCTTTCTTCTATGTGATTAACCAATAATCCCCCCCCCCACAAGTCAGAAATGCTGCTTAAATGGCCTAAGCTGGAAGATTTAAGACTGTGTGGAGATAATTTCTAACCAAAAGCATGTTTTAAGGAGATCGTGGAAAAGTACAAGAGCTTTGGGATGACGCAGTAAAAAACAGCGTCGCTATTTTGGCAAGTTCTGTCGAAAGATTTATGTCTGGGAGGAGGAATGCATTTGTTTTCATACTGCGGGCGAACCTCCTCAGAGACAAAAGAAGGCGACAGGTTTGTGAAGATTAATGATGGAAAGAGTGCTTTTATTTATGGAAGTGATGATATATGGAAACCATCTCGATATGGTTATTGGACGAACGGAAAAATTCACACAGGATTACAATTTGTGTTTACCTGCTTAAGGAGATTATCAGAAGAGATCACAAAGAAAAAAGAAAAATATATGAAAATAACAAGATGAGATGTGGGAACAGCAAGATAGGACTGGATAGAATTGTGAACATTATTTGGACAGATTTGTGGACATTAAGGCAGCAGCAAGAAGATGATTGGAATCCCCTTCGGAACTTGAAATATGGGTACCCCCAACAAAAATTTAAAATTCGGCTTTGTAATTCGGAATTTATGTGATGTGATTTGATTTGATTTGATTGGTCGGTTATTTTTTTTTTTTTTAAAAAAGATAACAGAATAAATGATGTAATGAAGAATCTGCAGCCCAAGATAGGAAAAGAGGTGGTAAGGGAACACCTAGCTACTTTAAATGAATTCAAATGTGCAAGGCATGATGAGCTACATCTGAGGGTACTAAAGGACATTGCAGATAGAATCTCAGAGCCTCTATCTATAATCTTCGAGAATTCTTTGAAAACAGGTGAGGTCCCTGCAAACTGGAGATGAGTAAATCTGCTCCCCATCTTCAAAAAATGGGAAAAATAAGATCCAGGTAACTAGCAACTGGTCCACTTGGTACTGATACCAGGAAAGGTCCTAGAACAGATAATTAAATGGTTGGCCTGTGAGCACTTAGAAAAGGATGCTGTGATTACTGAGACCCAGCAGGGGTTTCTCAAAAATAAGTCATGCCAGATGAATCTCATTCCTTTTTTTTTTTTTTAAGAGTTGCAGACTTGGTGGATCAGGAGAATGCTGTGGACATAATGTATATTGATTTCAGTAAGGCTTTTGACAGAGTCCCCCATTATATTACTGCAGAGAAACTGGTAAAATGCAGACTGGACAAGGCTACTGTTAGGAGGATTTGTAGCTTGTTGGCTGACTGAACCCTACTACTGATAATAACAATTTATTATTTATATGCCGCCCATCTGACTAGGTTGCCCCAACCACTCTGGGCGGCTTCCAACAAATCAAAACAAGTAAGACATCAAACATCAAAAACCTCCCTATACAGGGCTGCTTTCAGATGTCTTTTACAAGTCAAATAGTTGTTTATTTCCTTGACATCTGATGGGAGGGCATTCCACAAGGCGGGTATGACTACCAAAAAAGCCCTCTGCCTGGTTCGCTGTAACCTCACTTCTTGTAGTGAGGGAACTGCCAGAAGGCCCTCGGAGCTGGACCTCAGTGTTCAGGCTGAATGATGAGGGTGAAGACACTTCTTCAGGTATGCAGGGCCAAAGCCATTTAGGGCTTTAAAGGTCAGCACCAACACTCTGAATTGGGCTCAGAGAAATACTCAGAAAGAATTCTCAGTAACGGTTCCTCATCATCCTGAAATACAGTGGTACCTCAGGTTAAGAACTTAATTCATTCTGGAGGTCCGTTCTTAACCTGAAACTGTTCTTAACCTGAAACACCACTTTAGCTAATGGGACCTTCTGCTTCTGCCACCGCGCCGCTGCTGCGTGATTTCTGTTCTCATCCTGAAGCAAAGTTCTTAACCCGAGGTACTATTTCTGGGTTAGCGGAATCTGTAACCTGAAGCGTCTGTAACCTGAGGTACCACAGTATAGGGACAAAGTGGGTGCTGAAAGATTCTGCCCTGGGACTGTTGTTGCTTAATGTCTTTATAAACGACTTGAGTGAAGGAATGGAGGGGATGCTCATCAAAATTTCAGATGACACCGAACTGAGAAGGATAGCTAATGCTGCATAAGACAGAAGTGTGATTCAACATGACCTTAACAGATTGGAGAACTGCGCCCAAACTAACAACATGAATTTCAGTTGGGAGAAATTGTGTGGCAGGTGATTTACAAGGGCTTTTGAATAGAAGAGTTGCCAAAAATAGCACTGTTTTTAAAACAGTTTTTAAAAACTGTTTATTTATTTATTTATTTTGTATTCCACCCTTCATCAGAAGATCACGGGGCAGTTCACAACAAAAAATACTAACAGGAATAACCAGCAGCACAAATATAAGATGGGGAACACCTGGCTTGCCATTAGTACATGTAAAAAGGATCTAGGGCTCTTACTAGACTGCAAGCTTAACGTGAGTCAACAGTGTGATGGAGCAGCAAAAAAAGTTATTGGTATTCTAGGCTGCATCAATGGAAGTCTAGTGTCCCAATCAATTATAAAGGTAAAGGTAAAGGGACCACTGACAGTTAAGCCCAGTTGCGAACGACTCTGGGGTTGTGGTGCTCATCTCGCTTTACAGGCTGATGAAGCTGGCGTTTTCCACAGACAGTTTTTCCAGGTCATGTGGCCAGCATGACTAAGCAGCTTCTGGCTCAATGGAACACCGAAGCCAGAGCAGACCACACCTGGAGTACTGTGTCCAGTTCTGGGCAGCACAACTGAAGAAAGATATTGACAAGCTGGGACATGTGCAGAAGAGAGCGACCAAGATGATAAAGCGTGTGGAAACCAAGCCTTATGAGGACTGTCACATGCACCAAGAAAGGAAATTCTGACTAAAGATCAGGAAGAATCTTCTGACAGTAAGAGCTGATGGACAGTGGAACTGCCTCCCTAATGACCCTCGGGGTCCCTTCCAACTCTACAATTCCTCTATGATTCCACATCATCTGCTAGCAATGCCCTTCTGCATTCTATGTGGGAACGCTGTCATGACCCAGAGACCATGGACTGTGTGAAAGACTCAGAGGATGATAATAGAATCATAGACCCCATGAGGGTCGTTTAGCCCAACCCCTACAAAGCAGAAATACTGAACCCACGACCCTGAGATTAAGAGTCTAATGCTCTACCAACTGAGCTATGAAGGGTCTAGCTCTGTCATTGGGGGAAGACCCACCAGGACCTTCTTCAGGACCCTCCTGAGCAGAGGCCATAGTCTTGCTGCTCTCCTTTGATTCATGGTACCCTTGTCACTCCAACCCCACAGGAGCCCAAAACGGCATAATAAGGCAGGGGCCCTTTAACCGCCAGCCAGCCAGCTCCTGGGGAAGGGAGGGCTTTGTGCACTGCAGTCCTGTCAACATATATAAGGGTTGGAGAGAGATACTTGTGGAGACAACAGCTCACAATGGGACCATAGTTGAACCCTGGAAAATTGCCAGAATCCTTGCAGGTGCCTTGAAATACTGCTGGGCTCCCCATATGAAGCGCCAGCCCAGAAAACAGGACACAGGCCAGTCTCTATGCAAAAGAAAAAGCGGATACGCATCTAACATCTGAAACGGCAGTATTCAAAAACCAATGGGAAAACATTTCCGACTGCGAGGACACTCTGTAACTGTTTAGAAAATGGCCACCTTTGAACAAAAAAACTCCAAAGGGAGATTGCCATGTGAAACCGCTGAATTACAATTCACCATCATATAAATTAAAGGTCTTTGCTGATGACCTTGTTTTAACCTTAGAAGACCCAATATCCAGGGCAGTTGAAGCGCTGGAAAAGATAGAAGAATTTGGGCAACTAGCAGGATTCAAATTAAATAAAGCCATAACGAAGTTAATAACTAAAAATATGGACCAAAAAGTAATAGATGAACTGCAACAACTGGATTGATGACTGTAAAGAAAGTTAAATATTTAGGAGTCTGGTTAACAGCCAAAAATATGAATTAATATAAAGACAATATAAAGTTTGGAATGAGATCAAAAGAGATTTAGAAGTATGGAGAAGGATGAAATTATCTTTTTCAGGAAGAATTTCAACCATAAAAATGAACGTGCTGCCAAGATTGTTATTTCTATTTCATACAATTCCGGTGATCAGTGGAACAAGACAATTCAAAGAATGGCAAAAAATCTTATCAAAATTCATCTGGCGGGGGGGGGAGGGACCTAGAATTAAATATAAACTACTTACGGATGCAAGAAAAAGAGGTGGATTTGCCCTGCCAGACTTGAAAATTTATTATGAGGTGTCCTGTTTCTGCTGGTTAAAAGACTGGATTTTGTTAGAAAATACTGAAATTTTAGATTTGGAAGGATTTGATAATAGATTTGGTTGTCTTATGGGTTTCCATAGAGGTTTCCTGAATCACACTATTGGAAGCTATTTCAGTCAAAAAGAAAAAATATGTTAGGAAACTGGGCCACATATAAAGACTTCTTAGTAGAAGTGGAGGATACATTAAAATTAAAATCTTTTGCAGATTTAAGAGGAATGCTGACAGACTGGTTGCAGTATCACCAATTGAACGATGTATTTAAAGAAGATAATAAGAAAAATGGCTTTGCAAACATAAGGTCAAAACTGGAGACTGAGTTGTTAGAAAGCAAAAGTAAAATGATGTTAAAAATGTATAATTTGTTGTTAGAGTGGAATACTAAGGACAAAGAAGTTAAGACGGTTATGATTGAATGGGCTAAATACTTTGGTTATAATAGCGTGGGAAAGATTGTGGGAAAAGGGTATTAATTTTACTGCCTGTAAAGCTCTAAAAGAAAATATAATGAAAATGATGTGTAGATGGTATTTGACACCATCTAAACTGGCCAAAATGTACAGGACAAGTGACAAATTATGGTGGAAATGTAAGGAACATGAGGGGGTTTTCTATCATATGTGGTGAACTTGCACTAAAGTCAAAGCTTATTGGGATATGATATAGAATGAGCTGAAAAAAAGGTTTAAAAACACATTTCCGGAAAAAAACAGAAGCCTTCTTATTAGGTATCACTGGAGATGAAATCCCCCCAAAGACCATAATATATTCATTTACACCACAACGGTTGCAAGAATACTTTTAGCCCAGAAATGGAAGCAACAAGAAATACCAACATTAAGTGAATGGCAGACTAAGATGATGGAACGCGCAGAACTGGCAAGATTGTCTGGGAAGATCCGAGACCAACTGTTCAAAAGAGACTGGAGTAAATTTATAATATATTTAAAAGAACATTGTAAAAATTCAACAACGCTAACAGGTTTGACTTAAAGGTTCTTGCAAATAGAATCTGTAACTTATTTACAATTACATAATATATTGAATTAAGCAAGATAAAGTAAATAATAGGAAATAGAAATGTGAAGAAGATAGGAAATGTAATTAGAAAGCTAACTAGGGGGAAGGGAGGAAGGAGTTTACTCGAGAGAGTCAGAATATATGTGAAGGTAAGAAATGTGGTTGTTCTTTGTAATGAAATGAAAAACTAATAAATATTACTGAGGAAAAAAGAATTACAGTTCATCATAAAGTTCAATGTTATCAGCTGTGGCTTGAGTTGTTTTTTTGTTTTTAACCACACGATATATCAGGATGTCTGAGTTTTGAACAACTGCTTTGTGAATGGCTACTTTTTGTACTTTCTGCATTACATTTTCCTCTGACCTCCATCGTTTAAAATTCCTAGAGGCACCTTGCGGAAACATAGGATTGTACAGTCAGAAGAGATTGCAAGGGCCCAAAAAGTCCAAGCCACTGCAGTGCTGAAGCTAAGCAAGAAACCACATGTAAACTCTCTTTATGCTGACTTGAACTCACTGGAATATAGGGTATACATAGCTGTGTCAGATTCATATTTATGTTACTTTTAAGTATATTCTGAATTCCTCTGCTGAAGACCCACTGTGAATGGCTGGGATGCAAACTCTGATTCAGAGGCCTGTGCTGTGTTTGAGCACACCCTGTTCCCTTTTATGACTCAAGGGACTGTGAGCACAATGGCTCCTAGGTGAAGGCCTTGACGTTCCCAGTTTGAGAACCCGGTACTCATTTTTCATTGTCACTGAAATAATCTTTAGAACAATCCCCCAGTGAGAGAGGGAGAAATTGCATGGAGCAATTGCAGTGCAAACACATGCCAGGCTAAGATTCAGACTTCGTTTGTGTCCATAGCCAAGCATTAGCTAATTATCCAAGCGCACAAAGATGCAGCATTTTCCTCTGTGATTATGCGCCTTAATTAACAGATGTGGGACACTTTTAACCTCAAACGGAGACTTGAATAGAACTCAAGAAATGGGATAACAGAGGCTTATTGGGTTAATAATGAATTGTGCATACTAAGGCTGACTTTAAAAAACATGATTAGACTTGCCTTTATGTCTGAAATTGCCCTGGGCCCCTTTAATCAACCTTCCAAGAGCTTATCAGAACAATCCAATAGGGCTGGCACTGTTCCGTAGCATCAGTTACTCTGTACAATAAAGTAAAAGAAAAGTCCTTCTCTATGATAGGAATTTTAATTATCAATATTATCTTTAAATACCTTCAGCTTTTGGGTACTGTGTTAGTTGGACAGTAATCCAATGCTATCACATTACAACACAAAGCCTGCCCTATGGCCAAGATCCAAAGAAGGTCCCTGCGCATGCAAGAAAGAATTGTGAATGTCATTGAGTTTTTCTAGCCATTTTGCTCACAACAATTCCTAATGTTGAAGAAACAACTCAGTACTCCATTAAAAAACAAGCCCATTTCTTCCGCTGTGAGGAAAACAGTTAGAACAAATCCATCAGTGGTTCTCTGTCTTCTGCCATTGAATGTCCACTCTTTAGATCTTACCCTAAATATACAAAGGAAAATCAAAGGCAATGCAATGCAATGGAGCGTTATTTGAAGAACGCTCAGCCACAAAACGTATTTTCACTCAGATATCTGTGAATGAGCCTTTCATACCACTAGCAGAGACACTAAAGTCTCGGCTGCATGTCTTGGTGGAAATGAACCACCATTTAGAAACCCTGAGCTCATTACAATCCAACCATGCCTACAATCTTTCTCTGAATTATAGCCCCTGTTTATAATTGTTTTATCTCCTATCTCCTTAAAAACCCCTCAAAGTTTAAAGGCAACGAGAACAGGAACCCTTGCACTTCTCTGTCTGAAATATGGAAGGCTTTATGCACTCAAAGAAGCTACTATGACAGCAGATTTTATTAAATTTTGTCAAAAGGAATACTGTTCATAGCCATTTGTTCATTTCTCTAGGGAGAAATTAAGAAACGAAGACTGACTGATTTATATATTCCTTACTGCAGTTTCCAAAGAACACAGAGTGTGGTGCTGAGTACACAATTCAAATTCTTGGGGTGGTTGCCAGGTTTGAGTGGGCCATCAGTAAAGCGCCACATGTTTCCCTTTATGGTGCTGCCGGTGAATGCCTCCTGCTTTACCTGCTGGTGACTCCCCCGGTGCTGTTGGCACTGATGCCAGTCAGGGCATGGCAGCACTGGCATGGGGGTTGTGGATTGACAGCATAGGGGGAAGCAATAGGTATTCAGATGAGGTGTTGGCCAACTGCAGATCCCACCAGCACTAAGGATTGCAGGTATTGATGGTGGTCTGATCTCAGCTTCCATTTTAAAGGGACCCCCTCCCCCATCTTCAAAATATGCCCAAAGTGTGTGAGTGCTGGCTGCTGAAACCTTAGAATCATTCCTAGCGATCAGAAACGGGACTTAATGCTCTGCACCACTTTTTCCTCTTCTCAAGGCCTGGCAAATCCAGAAGAATATGCATAATGTATACAGTCCTCAAATCCAGTTTTACTTTCTTGAAGATTTTGAATTAATTTAATGAAGATTTTAAAATGTTTTTAGCACAGCACATAGGCTTCCACTGGAGGTTATTTTGGGATAACATTTGGTGCTGCTCTTGAATGAATATTTTTGAAAGCTGTTCCAGCAGCTCACTGGAGTTTCTAAAACGAGTCAGAAATGGAAACTCTTTCAGGTCAGGTTTGTTTTTTGTTTTGTAAAGAGCACTACAAGATTACATAAGACAGTTGTAAAATCATTGGTTTTCATACTGTAAAATGGAATCCTTTCAGTCTCAACATTTCATCCTAAATATTTATGAAAAGCTCTGAT